CCCCCGATTCTCCAATCATGGCTGGGGGGCAGGGGAAACCCCATGTCCTTAGCTCCCCCCTGGGTTTCCGATCACTGTCAGTGGCAGGGGGCTTCTTCCTGTTTTCCCTTTCGCCTCCCTGCATTGTGCCTACATATGCAAATTAACCGCCATCTTTGTTGTCAGTTAACTGCCATCTGAGTTGGCAGTTAATTTGCATATAGCCCTGATTAGCCAAGGAAAAGGGTAGCGTCGTACACCAATTACCATTTTTCTCTTTTATTAGTGTAGATAGACAAAGATTAGACCCCAATTTATACTGATATTGTTTGGTTCTCTTCCCTATAAAGTTAAGTTTATAACACCAAATAAAACCCTTCACACCAGTTAGCTAAGAAGCATGTGTTGGTTTGCAACAGCTAGTTTCTTCACCTCACTCTTCCTTCCAGCATTATAACTGGGGATATGCATCCATCATTCAGGGATTATTTTCAAAATACTCTTTAGTTCTCAGTGCCTAAGGAGAGTCTGCTTCAGTAGTTTGGGAGCAGGCTCTAAAGTCTAGCCAACTGCCATGCTTACATGGCCTACTTAGAGCATGTTCACCTCCAGGCTTCCTCACATAGATCTTCCTCGTGGCGTCCAAAGAGGTCTTCGTGAAGCACTGGCATTTCATACAGAATGTGAAGCTTGGGTGGATGAAGTGCTGTACTTTGCAGTAGGCCACAATTTATAAATTTATAAAATGTTTTATCTGTTACCTGATATAAAAGCATGTACATGAGGATAAAATAGCAGCTATAGAATCCTTGGCTTCACTGTCTGATTCATGGAAGAGTCTATGGAATTAATTTTAGAAGTATAAAAGTATGCTGGCATTATGCCCTTTTGTTGGCATTCAGAACAGAATTGAAGTCATCCTCTTGTGTTGGTTGACTAGAGAGAAGAAAGCAAAATGGGCTTTCCTATAACAGAAGCTAAAAAACGGAGTAACTTTAATTAGAATCTAAAGCTACAAGTGGTTTACGAGGTAACATGCTCTTAATTCCCTAGCTTTACAAATGAGAAAACTCTCAAGGAGGTTGTGGCTATGGGTTAGCTAGTAGGTAATTGGAGACTTAAGACTTTCTTACTCAACCCAATGTACATATCTCAGAGTCTCTTTAAGATAATTAGAGCCCTCATGGGGCATTCTTGTTCTATTGTTTGTTATAAATGCACTTATATTTTATTGCTCATAATTGATGGCTTATTACTGCTTATTTATCTCATCTTAACCACTATAATGATGCTACTCTTTTTCCCTTATTCCTAGTGTATTTGGGATGGGACCATCAGTGCTTTTCCCAGCACTGTCTTCTTCAGTCCTTAGGACTAATCTTAAGAGGCAGCAGAGAGAGCTATACGAAAGGTGTTATGTCTCTTGCAATCTGTATTACTGACATCAGAATTGCTTGTTGGTTGGCTTTTTGTTACTAACAGGAATGTTGGCAGCTGTGAGTTGTCATAGTCGTCTTTGATTTTCATAGGTTCATTTTAACATATTTGCCCTGTAAAATTTGGATACAATACTGAAAGATCTAGTTTACAGAAAGTTGTGTGTTTTTTTAACTAGATTAAATATCTGAATTTTTTTCAAAATATAAGTGTGGCACGATCCAAACCTCAAACCAGACACAAAGTATGAGGCTTGCTCCAAGTAACAAAACTTAAACTCACTGTTACTGTAGTGAGATGTTATTAATGCCTTTCTTATCCCAATTCCAGAGCCACTCAGGTGTCTTCTCTTAGATCCAAAATCATGTCCTTCTTCACTCCCATCTCTTACTACTGCTTTTTCTTATTTAAGGGATGAGAGTGAAGGGAGAATTTCTCTCATATGCCCTAACCCTGTAAACAACATGATTATTCCAATAACTGGATTTTTCAGTACAGTGTTCTCCTGAAACAAATAGCTAAGTTGGAATAAAGCCTTGAACAGGAACAAGAACCTGCTGTTACCTCATTCTCCTCTAGGGACATATTCCTCTGAGATAAGATGTCACACACATACAATAGAGCACTCTCCTAAATTTAAGGATTCCTCAGTTAATAAATGGAAAGGTCTTGCTTTCTTAAATTGTGTATTTTTAGGTCACAGATTTTAAAATCTAAGTTGTATAAATATCCAACTCAATAGTTCTCATTATGCAGCGTATCCTTTTTTCATAGGAGCTTATTGTGCGCACACACACTGCCTAACAGCTTCGAAAGCCATTGTCACCCACTGCGCTGCTCCCCTGTAGATTTATGATCCAAACTAAGTTTTTTGAGTATTGACTTGAAAGGCAGCTTAAAGTGACAGCACCCAGAGAGCTAAATGTTCAATGGCAGGTTTTCTTTGGTCCTTCTCAAAAGCTATAAGACAGCACAACTGGCTTTTTAAAGAAATACCGATCTTTACTGCTTGGTCTTGTTGACCATTTGTATATTTGCATGCTCTGCATTTGTAAAATTCTTGCTATACACACAAAAACCTAAGAGTATCTCCTCTTTGGCACTGCTGATTTTGTTTTTCCTTCTTTGCCTAAACAGAACTTGGGAAACTGTGAAACGTGCAACCAGGAAAGGACAGTCGGCTGATGGTATGAGTGCAAACCTATTATAACTCTTCCTGAGAGAAATTACCACACATTATTGTAGTAGGCGAGGTGCAGGAGGGTTGTGTTTTGTTTTTGTTTGGGGTTTTTTTACTGTTACCAAGATCTCAGGGCAGAGTTACCTTCAATTATGATCTTTTATCTTTAAATCTAACATTTGTTTTTGCAATGCTGTGTAACTAAGTCGAGCTTTCTTTACAAGTAACTTCTGGCTCCTGTTATCTAAGCTCCAAACAGTGTTTTTGAGGGAAAGATGTACACTAATATTTATAGCCAGACACAAATCAATAGAATTTGAAGCAACATACTGTGTCTAGACATGATACGACTCATAGAAATCCTTTGTATTCTGTTCAAAGGATCTAGGTGAGAGCCTTTAGTTTGGAAAACTTATTTACACTACTTCACACTTTTAGCCATGTGGTTTATAGTTGACTAGAGGCCCGGTGCATGAATTCGTGCACCAGTGGGGTTCCCTTGGTCTGGCCTACAGGATCGGGCCAAAACCAGCTTCCGACATCCCCTGAGGAGTCCCAGATTGCGAGAGGATGGAGGCCAGGCAAAGGGACCCCCACTGGTGCACAATAGAGGCTGGAGAGGGACATGGGAGGTTGGCCAGCCAGGGCCGGACCGCAGGAGGGCTCTAGGGCATGTGTGGCCTTTCCTGCCCAGTCACGATTGGGGCCAATAGGGGCTGGCGGGCCAAGGAGAGACCAAAGAGAGCACCAGAGCATGTCCGGCCTGTCTCGCCCATCCCAATCAGATGGACCCCAGCAGCAAGCTAACCTGCTGGTCAGAGCATCTGGCCCCTGGTGGTCAGGGG